ACCAATTGCATATGAGAGCAGAACGATGTCACCGGCTGAGCGTAATTACCCAGTCCATGAACAGGAACTGTTGGCAGTAGTAAATGCACTTCAAAAATGGAAATTGATGCTCCTAGGGTTGAAAATTAATGTAATGTCAGATCATCACTCATTGACGCACTTACTAACTCAGAGGAATCTCAGCCGCCGCCAAGCCCGCTGGTTGGAAACATTATCACAGTTTGACCTTGATTTCAACTACATCAAGGGTGAACACAACACAGTCGCGGACGCATTGTCACGAGTCGAAGAAATAGCCGCCATTGAGATCACTGCGATGCTTGACGATCAAACCGTTCAGGACATCAAAGCAGGCTACAAGAACGACCCCTTCTGCTTAAGAGTTAAGAAGACATTACCGCTGCGCGAAGGCACTGAAGAACGAGACGAGATGATCTACGTCGACGGAAGACTCTTAATTCCTCATATTGACAAGCTACGGGATCGACTGATCGACAAAACCCACAACGCCTTAGGTCACCTTGGAAGTCTGAAAACCTTGGCGCAACTACGACATCAATTCTTCTGGCCTGAGATGACAAAAGACGTCACGAACTTTGTATCATCATGCGACAGTTGTCAGCGATCAAAGGCAAGAACGACGCTTCCGTCAGGTCGACTTCAAGCGACAGAAGTCCCAAGACGACCAATGGAGGATATCTCGTCAGATTTTATTGGTCCCTTCCCCAAATTCAGGGGCTATGACATGATACTTTCTTGCACTTGTAGATTGACAGGGTTCGTACGCGCCATTCCAACTTCCCAGACGGACACCGCCGAACGAACAGCTCAACGACTATTCGGTGCCTGGCTTGCAATCTTTGGCGCCCCCAAGAGCATGATCGGAGACCGCGACAAAACGTGGACTTCGCGATTTTGGCAAGAACTCAACGGCCTGTTGCACATTGACGTCAAACTGACCACAGCGTATCACCCCCAAGCTGACGGGCGAAGTGAAATCTCAAACAAGACAATCGTGCAAATTCTACGACACCTCGTCGAAAACCGACACGGAAAGTGGCTAGAAGCCTTACCCGCCGTTGAATACGCAATTAATAGTGCAGTAAACGTGGCAACGGGCATTTCACCATTCGAATTTGTGTTCGGACGTCGACCTCGACTTTTTCCTGTGACTGGTAAATTAACAGACAAGGGAAGTGACACTACGAAGTGGATAGAAGAACGTCAAGGAGCCTGGGCGCAATACCGTGATAAATTATGGACTAGCAGGATAACGCAAGCATTACATTACAACAATCGAAGAAGCGCGGGCGAGGTCCTCAAGTGTAATGATTGGGTACTGATTGACAGTAAGGATCGCCAACAGATCGTCGGAGGCCAAGGGAAACCAACTTCGAAGCTGCGACCCCGATACGATGGCCCATACCAAGTCAGCGAGTGTTTGAATGATGGACGCAACTTTCGTCTGCGACTCAATGACGACGACAAGTCACATCCAATTTTTCACATTTCGAAGCTGAAACGCTACCGGTGGAGGGAGGACGAGCAAGGAACTGGGGCCCAAAAGTAAGTTCCTCCCAAATTGTATGCACCGCCGGACGTACTACGTCAAGTTTCAAAAACATTACCTCGGCCACTTGTGTGAGCACCCCCTTGGACGTCTGCTTCCTTCACAGGATCATCAACAAGGTTGCAAGCATAGTGGTGTTCACGATAGATATTAGATGCATTACAAGACTCAAGATCACGACTTTACTTACTGACTTAAATGATAATGACGAATGAAGATCAAGAATTCAAGATGCAAGACTCACGGACTCACTCAATTTTTTATTCTTTTTTTAGTTCTCTTTTTTTTTCTTTCTCTGTTTCTGTTTCTTTTTTTTTTTCTCAATTACTCAACTCAAATATTGAATTTCTTTTCTTAAGGACGTGTTATGGTCACTATTTAAGGGCGAGTTATGCCACTTGGTTTTTTTTGTTTGTTGTTTTGTTGCTTGGTTCAGTTTTTTTTTTTAGAAGGGGAGGGATGTAAGGTGTTACATAGGGACGTACAGCAATCATGGCTGAAGACAGGTTCTGATCAATAGTTGTCAACGGCCCTAGCTCCACGAAGATCTCTTTCTTCACCGAAATCTTCGGCTGGAGCTAGGTGAGCTATCATTTCTCTTTTCATCTCTTTTCTCTCTAGTTTGTTTCTCTTCCATTTGTTATCAGTAGAGCGTAGGAACTGACTTCACCGAAATCTTCGGCTGGAGCTAGAATTGTGCTAGGAATTTATAGAAGGGTTTTAGTTTAGATTTAGAGCCTTGCTCTCGTGCCTCGTCATCAGTGAAGACTCCGCTTTGGAGTCTTACATGGGGTTGCACGTATTTGTAGCTCGACAATCGGCATCGTCTTGCTGATCATTTTTGAGAATCTCATCAATAATCTTCATATAGATACAAGGATTAGTACATGCTTAGAATTCAAGAACATAGGAGCTGAGTGGGATAGTTCGATGAAAGAAACTTACATCGCAAGCTTTCCATGCGCAATGACGGCTATCCCATTTAATATTCCACCTTATACCATAACCAGCAATCAATGCATCAAATTGGAGTCCCAAAGTAGCTGCAGTCGCAGTTACAAGCGCTCGCATAGAAGCTGAGCTGGTGAGTTTACGAATTACAAAATCAAGCTGCAATGACCGGCGGTTTTATCAGCTACATAAGAACAAGCGTTATTTTAGACAAAGGATCTTACCCGCTTCAATAGTCCATCCAGATGAGACGCATTGTGTTGATCTGCTGTAGAGGGCGGAACAATGAAAACCGGTTTGTGTGTATTTGCATAAGGATTAGCAATTGGAATCGAACCGGTGTGGTTTTCATTGCTGTACCAGTCTTCGCCAACGGTTTGGGCGGGATTGTCAAGAAGATTATGTGATTCATTGCCTTGAAGAGGGTCTTGAGTGTTGGATACGGGTAGGTGAGTACTCTGGTTGGCTGTGGCGGGGATCTCTTCTTCTTCTTCTTCTTCAAGACCTTCTTCAACGGCGGATAGGAGATCATTCACTGGAAAGCTTCCAAGTACTGATTTTCGAACTACTTGAGCAGGTGGTGGTGTGACTCCAAGAGCCTCAAGACCCCCATTCACTATTAGCGACATCTGGTGACAAAAACACTTGACCACGTTATCCTCAGGATGCCAATTGTAATCTTCACCGGCGTCTTCTGCAATCTTAGAGAGTCGCTTGTGCATTGCAGTTGCCATTGTATAGTTGTTTGAGCCCGAGTCAGTTGTCTGGGCTAAAAGGTAAATGGAATGAAGAATCAAATGAAATATCAGCTCTTGGTAATTACAAGTAACATCAAGGATAGTTTATAAAGATTCAAAGAATCTTCCCTCGAATCAGTTCGAACCGGATAGGTCCAAAATCTAAGAAGCTCTAGTGAAGCTGAGATACACCTGAGGGCACAAGTGACGCGTTAGACTAGAGCTGCAAAGCCTTGTCTACGACGAACAAAACTGAACTGACCTGAGGGCACAAGTGACGCGTTAGACTAGAGCTGCAAAGCCTTGTCTACGACGAACATAACTGAACTGACCTGCGAGCTCGAAAAAGATTCGTAGCACGCGAAGAAGGACTGTTTAGTTTTGATAACAGACAATAGAATGAAATTGATTCTTTTCGATGTAACACACCTGAGGGCACAACTGACGTGTTAGACTAGAGCTGCAAAGCCTTGTCTACGACGAACAAAACTGAACTGACCTGAGAGAGGTTCAGACAAAAGAAATAAGTAAGAGAAAAGAATAATACGAGAAAAAGAAATAGATCTACCTGCGAGCTCGAAAAAGATTTGTAGCACGCGAAGAAGGACTGTTTAGTTTTGATAACAGACAATAGAATGAAATCTTTGAAAAACATAAACAGAAAAGATAAATATTAAAATAGAGAAGATGATTAGTGAGATTGTAAAACAATACGCTCTTTTGAGAAATAAGGCTGACTTACTGATTCTTTTCGATAAGGAAAAGAAATCAGAAGACGGGACAAAGATAGAGAAGTATATAAGATAAAGAAACCAGAAAAAATAATCCACCCCTTGATTCCATACACATTCACCCCTTGATTAAACATATCTCAACATTCACCACTCTACACACCTCATCCATATAAGGTAATTGGATTTGACTACTACCAAGATACTTAGTATCTTAACATAGTTGACAAAAGTACTGATCTTTTGATACAGATTATTCTTCTCAAGGATACCTACTAATGTCTCTGCGAGCCATTCTCCTTTATGATACCATGCCACAAGCTTGAGTGCCAGGTGTTGTGTTTGATAGGTCCAATTTTTATCGATGTAAGTGACCGAAACACCCAGAAATGCGTAACGATTTCCAGGAGTTGTCCAGACATCTTGAGAGAGACAAAACGTTGTATCAAGGTCCTAGGAAGAACAGCGGATGTGATTGGTTTTGAGAATGCAATTACTGTGACGGAATTGAAAACAACAAACCTTAAGCCTTTTCATTACACATTGACTGAGTGAAAGATAAGCTCTATGAGCTTCATGAGCAGTCCAAGTCCGTCCATACACATGGGCTTCAGGGTTCGAGTACCTAAATGCAGCACGTAGCATATTGTCCTCCATCCTGCGCCAAGGTAGAGCCTGACGAAGGATCCAAAACATCAAGATTTGATTTAATATTTTATTGTTGAAAGTCCATGTTGATCGGACCACAGCTTGACCCTTTGTCTTCAGCCTCCTCTCATATGCAGTCTCGGGTAAGTCAATTCCTGATTCTATTGCTTGAGATCGTGCTTTACATCCAGGATTACCCGACTTTGAGTGTTGCATTGATCCATCTTGATGAACCTTTAGGTTCTTGTCTGTACCAGCACCGCCTCGAACATACGATTTGCACCATAAGCAAGGAAAAGAGAGGTATGGACCTTCAATGGGCTTTGACACAAGATTTTCAAGACAAAGTTAAAAAATAGTCTCTTAAAAATACTTCCTCACAGTCAAGAAAACTTAAACTTACATCATTTCCACCTCTTATGGGTGTACCATAGTATTCAATTGGTTTCGTGTGCTTGCATACCTCCTTTCGAGGCTTAATCTTTTGATTCTCCTTATCAGAGTCCTGTACAAGATCGACATGTGTTTGGAGGATATTTGATGAAGTAGTCTATTTTTTTGCAAAAGGAAAAAGGTCAGATTGTATTTCAGAAAGAAAAAACAAGGAACTTACTGCAGAAGTTGATATCACTGCTTCGGCGAGCAAATCTTTCTTGGTTTTACGCTTTTTCTTAACCTTGGGATTCAAGTTGTTCTTACGCTTTTTTGGGGTGTGTTTTGAAGTTTGAGATGAATCAGAATTGGCAGCCGATGTACCTTTTGACGGTTGCCGAGAGCGGGTCGATCGGCGTAGAGAGTTTGTTGTTGAGAAGTTGGATTTTGCAGAGGATTCATCTGAAGTCTCTCCCGATTCATCAGTGTTTTCATTGGATGATCGTGGTGGTGGGTTCTTTTTGGATGGCATGGTGGTTTTATGAGTGTGATGATTTATTCAATAAGATGAAGATGTTGATGTGAGTTGATTCGATTTCGTGTTGGTTTGATCAGACTGATGATCGGTCTCACTCCAGTTGAGACCAATCAAAAGTCACAAGGAGTTGGTTTCTTGACCAGTCAAGTTTCCAAAACCTTGTTCTATGATCCTGATCGATATATAGTTGATTTAATCGGTCGATGGGTTGATGAAGCGATAAAGCAGGTGATTGTATGGGATTTGTTTTGTGGTGAGGTATCGTATAGTACCACCGATCTCAAACGCAATACTCACAATACCAAGTATGAAATTTCGATTTCTGGTACTAGTACCGGGCAGTATAGTACTGCAATCCCGGTACTATACTGGTACTGTACCGTAATATTATAGTACAGTGGCCGTGTTGCTACAGCGGTATAAAGATGTTGGAAAGTAACAAGGTAACCAAAAGGAGTAGGAGTAGATAGGTCAAAAAGGCGTCTACACGAACGGGAATATAAGTAGAGGAACTCTCGGGAACTCTCTTGAAGGTTTACTTGGGCCGCCCGCCCGCCCCCGCCCACGAAAACCCTTTCTCGGACAGGCAGTCCCCGGGCCTATGGCCCCCCCCCACACCAGGTAAGAACCTGTATAAAGTGAAGACCTACATAACGATTGCCCGAATTAGAAAGGAATAGAAAGTAGAAAAATCAGAATGAAATAAAACAGATAGAAAGAAACTAAGAGTTAGACGAGAGCATATGAGTGAACAAGTCTAACCTTTTAGAAAATATAATGAGAGCTGAGCAAGGCACAGTCAAAAGATGGAAATATCGGACTGCATTTTGAAAACGATGTATCTTAGAAACAAAGCAGAGCGGGGATATTAGAATAATCGCTTGGACCGGAATCAAAGGCAGACAAGAAGAGGAATGTTTGCTGACCTCTTCACTTTTGGTTTTGCAATATCGGTTGAAGTTGAGATCTGTTGATGCAAACGCAGGCAAACATTGTGATCGAAAATTTTGGGCGCGTCAATCTGAAACAGCCCTAGCTCACAGCCGCGTGGTCATGGTGTTAGGGCTGTTTCAGACTGAAATGTTGTTTCATTTTTTGTTAGGCATGAAAAGCAAAGCGCGTCAGACATGTTACCCAAACTTCGCGGCCTGTCACTTATCAAATATGCCACCCAAAATTCGAAAGCCTCCACAATTGCTCGACGAACACATCGCCAATGCTAGGAAACACTTTCTTGAAGCGGACAACTCCCCAAAGGTTGGAAACAGAAAGTCAGTTCGTTCCCTATATCCTCTACATATTCTTTGCTGGTTGACCCACAAATGGTGTCTTGATGTTAGGTTGAGGCAAACTTGTGATGATGGATCCATCGACAAGCTTGCTAGCAAACACACACCCGCTCCCGGCCAGACTGCGACCAATGAGACCAGGCAATTGGTGAAGCTTGAGGTGGAAGAGGTCAAACGTAGCCCGGTCCCTACGTATCAATCCTTAGGTATATCAGATCTCCATCAGAACGAGTTTGCACCGCCTGCAGACGCTGAGGCTTTGATGAGCACAAATAGCATATACTTTCCCGGTCGAAGAGAGTCCCAGTCCAATCAATTATTGGACCCTGCGCACCCTGATTAGGAAGGCCTCCTTGTAGGACTATCTGGTGTTTGCTGGTCTAGATGAGGATCAATTTGACGCGGTGATTCCAATCTTGCGAGCTAAGGAAGTCACGAATTGGGATCTATTCTTGTTCCGTGATTACATCAGTGCGGCTCGCTTTGAGAAATGGGGAATACCTGAAGGGATATTGTAAGGAGGTGTATGGGTATAGATTACAGGATGGTATGGGATTACAGTAGTAGTAGTATAGATATTATCTAGGAGCGTGTCTTTTCTTCTCTTTTCTCTTTTTCCTCTTGAGGACCTCTTTTCCTCCTTACTCTTTCTCTTAGACTTTATATTGATAGTACGGTGTCTTAGGTATGACTTCTCTCAGGAGGACCTCTTTTCCTCCTTACTCTTTCTCTTAGACTTTATATTGATAGTACGGTGTCTTAGATTTTCATTTCTAGAAATAGATACACGGGTGTTAGTTCTGTCTGGCTTCGGCCGTGAGAGATCAGAGAGTCAGTGAAGGTCGATTACCTGTCGACCTTACAGATATGTGTGCGGATTTTTGTACACACCGACATGTTTTATCATTATGTGTTGATGAGAAACCCTGAAGTCAAAGGGTGATCATGCGAGTCCTAAAGTCAAAGCCTTGTGTCCAAAGTCCCAAGCTATTGCCATGTTTTTTGATTGAGTAAATGAAAATGGACGTACACACTCTGATGTAGTCAAATTTTTGCATTCAAAACTATCACAACATACATGGTCATGTAGCGAACACAAACAGAATACTATATTGACATCCCCTGGTTTGCCAACCACCACATATGATGTGTGATCTACCAACATCCTAGCCGTCCTGAGTGTCATCTCCAGCTTCACCTCCGTTGCCTCCGCCTTGCGCTTCATCGTGCCAGACTTGCAGACCCTCCTTGATTGCCAGAGTCCACACTGGGGGATCCACTGGGTAGAACGCGCAATCAGTTGTGCATCCGTGTTTTTTGCTGGAGTATTGTGCAGCACAATTGAGCACAAATGAGTTAGTGTCCAGGTGCTGAACACCGGACATCAATACAAAAGAAGTTTGCTGTTCAATTCTTTTGCGATGATTCTTGGCGACCAGGCATTGGGCTTCATGGCAGTTGTGCTGTATGTTAAGGATACAATCCACTTGGTGCAAAAAGTGGTGAGGAGGAATCCATTATTCATTGGCCCAAGACCTGTGTCCTTCCAGGGAATAAAACACTTCCTTGGATGTTTCTGCAGAACGTCTCATGAGTCACAACCACTTCACGCATCCCATAAAACTCCAGAACTCTTCCCAATTGACATGATTGGAGCACCACCACAGTATGCCGATCCCCTTTCCCTGAAGGTTTCCAGATGCTTTGCACTCTGGCAATATGAGCAGTGGTCTTGAGCTAAAATCATTCAAAGTGTTATCAATGTGGTTGAATGTACCTTTCAGCGCATTTCACTCACCAACACAAAATCATTCACTTCCACCTTTTTTCCGCAGGCCAAGTTGATGCTTTGATATTCCTTCAAAGTTTTGAAGTGCTGTGTACAGTTGTTATCATCAAGACCCAACCACGCGCATCCCCGCAAAAGTCGAAATTTACCGACCCAAGCCATCTCACTCGCCCGGAGGGGTTAGTAAGGCCTGAAAAGTCATTTTTGGCATAAGAGAAGGTGGTTTGGGCAGCAAATGACTTTTTGAGCCGATGTGGCCAGCGGATTTTTTTTAATTTTTTTTTTGTGTACACCCATACATTTCGGACTTATGGGTTGAAGCTATGGGTTTAGAGTGTACTTATGGGTTGGAAATATGGCTTTAGATGGTACTTATGGGTCTAAGGGGGCTCAATTTGGCTCATCTTGAGCGATCAAGGTTGGGGATAAAGACATTCAAAAAAACCTTTATTTCTTTTGAGGCTGTCTGTATAGTAAGTAACAAATTCAGAAGAACAAGAGAGCATAAACAAAACCTCTTTATTTTGTGTATTTTGTGTATGATATCATTTGGGTAGATTTGCTTGCATGTATACTAAATAACAAAATAAGAAGAATAAGACTTTCAATCAATATAAAATGGATCAGCTTTGTTCATTTGGTTGACAGATGAAGGCGAGATCCATTGCAGCCTTTCAAGGAATGCATCGATGAGAACGATATCGCTTTTCGTTGGCCAATGTGTTAGCTTGAGTGCATGTGAAGCCTTGATTATAATGAGAATAAGTTGTCAGTATTGGATCAAACAGTGTATCAAAAAAACTCTTACCAATACACATCCATTTGGCAATCTATCTTTTGAAAATACTTTCGAATAGTTGTGATTGGACAAGATTGGCAAACCTTTTCGAATAGATCCTTTGAGTCCTTGAAAGATGTACAAAGATGGCTACTTTTTCAATACTCTGATAGAAAGAATATTTATGTAGTCAGTTGATGGACTGAGATAAGAGCTTGAAGGAGGAACTTACTTTGTTTTATGTATGACCAATATATTTCGATTGGGTTAAGCTTGCAATGGGATTTGGGAAGAAAGAGACAAACATGGCCAGCATCTTCTATGACAGTCTGAAGCAAGGACTTCTCATTTGCAAAGTCAGATTGTAAGCTTAGGATCTTGGAAGCACAGCATGCTGGATTGTTGTCTTCAAAAGTAAATTGTATCACTTCTTCTCCATTTTGATAAGCTTCCTGTGCTTCTTTCTCGCGCCTCAATCAACCCTCGCGAGCGATTTGATTGCGCTTTGATCCTGACATTTGACAGTTGGCACACTGGAAGACTGGTTTTCGTTTTTGTTCCTTTGACCAAGTTACATACCAATCCCACAAGCCTCGCTCCACAAGAACACACCACACACCCTTAACCTTTCCAGCCATTGTTGCATGATCTTGAGGGTAGACCATTGATTGGGGCAGGCCTCGAATCTCAGCTGGAATCCTAGGATTGTTGGTTGGTATGAATGTATTGCATAAAGGACGTTTCTACCCCCCAGGAGCAAAGTTCATGTGTGAGACACAAAGCGCTGAAGGACCATAAGATGCATGCGCAGATGAGCAGTCAAAAACAAAGACTCCCTGTGATTTGGGAAAGAGGTAGTTGAAGATTGGAAGGGCTTGTGATTTGACCTGTTTGATGAGTTGAGCACAGTCCCACCATTTATCGCCATTGGCCCCAGGATAAGTTACCACGGCGGCATTGCTAAACGTTGGTCAAAGGCGAAATCCAGCAGCTTGTTCATCTTTGGGTGTGATGACCAACCGGCCAGTGCTACTGGCTTCAACAATCCAGTCAGAGTCGTGAATGTGGCGTCCTTGGGACTTCTTTCGCAGCTCTGTTGTGTTATCGGTAAGCCAGGCAAGTCAGCAAACCTTTCAAGGTATTGCTGACGGTATTGAACAACACCAGGACATTCATGCCTGTCATGATATAAGCCCTTGCTGTACTTGCGAGCTTGGAATCCTAAATGACGAAGCCATCGATAAGAGGTAACCACAGATATCTTCTTGGTATAACTGAGTTCAGGTAGAATTTGCATGGTCACATAGTTGGGGTGGTGAGAGCTGTTGATCGAAATTGGTTATTGTATCAGTCTCAAAGGAAAAAAGCAACCATTGGATTCAAAGGAACCACTTACCTTGCCAGGCTTGTTAGCAATCGCCCAAGATTTAAGAGCATCAAAAACTCGCTTGTCCTGGAGAAGTGAGGCATGGGAATCATGAATGCCACGTTGGCTGATTTTGATCTCTTTGAACTTGATGAGGTGAAAGGCTTGATCGTGGATTGTCTTTGCTTGACTAACTCCAGTAGTGGCTTTAGGAAGTTTTGAATTCGAAAGATCGCGGCAAATAGATGAAGATGCCGTGAAAAACGAAGCGGTGACAGCAGGAGAAGGTGAACCATTCATTGTAAGCTCAAGTTGTCTGTTGTTGTATTCATGAAGATCACTGATGATTTGATTGATCTTTGGATCTTTCTGTATGTTTTTTGAAACATAATTGATGGCTGATTTTAACTCTTTGAAATATTCTTGAGCGCTGTTCTTGAATTTTGCAGGTTCTGAGAAAAAAGTCCGTGAATTGCAATATTGATCAACACATTGGTCAATCCAAAGGTCCTGTGCTGCAGCGAGATCGGGGTCAAAAAGTCTTGGTGGATTGATCGAATCAGAAGGAGTGTCATCATTGGTAGAGATCTCAATTAAAGTCTCGTCATCTTCAAGGTCGTCAATAGTATCAGAATGAGTTGAGGCCGGTGGGGTAGGGGCTTTGGCTTTTGCTTGTTTCATCCAGTTGGACATGCAGAAGTTATTCTTTCCAAGTGCTGCTTCTCTTTTTTTCTTGCAGATGAATCTGGTTTGTTTTGACTCTAGAGCAGGTTTACCCTTGGCGCTTCCAGGTTGAAATCAAGGCTTCTTGTATCCTTTCAAGAGCACTCCTCATTTTGTTTTTTGCTTTCCGAGACTGAGAGTAGATTCTGGTGGACACTTTTGAGTAAAGACAGGGTAAAAGATGTGTTTGACAAGTTCTTGATCAAGTTGTTCTTTGTCAGATGAGTCAGCATCTTTGTTTTGAGCATACAGATGCATCTCTAAAGGATCTAAGTCGTCCCCCTTGGTTTCATAATTGATATCAATTGGAAGCCAATAAGCACAGCCCCCAATCACAAGTCACTGGCAGGCCAGTGCCTCCAACCGACCCTAGCAAGTTATGAGAAAGTTATGAGAAAGTTATGAAATGGATATCTGTTATGATCTCAGGATGCATGTAACAGTGATCTCAGGATGCATGTAACAGGATGTGAAAGATCTGTAGGAGATGTCACAGGATTGGACTCCAACCTCTGTTGTACACGTCACGCTTGTATATCTTTTCCTTTCCTTCTCAACCGACAATCTACATACAATACTAGAGAAGCCACTCCTCAATCCCCGTCGAGAGATCCGTGCCGTGGCCTTAACATATTGTCGGTTCTAATCCTAACGGGCATCGAGGATATCAGAAGATTAGAAACGAAT